TGTTCGGAAGTCCACACTGCGTATGTAAGACAAGCTCACCCACCCACACACACACCCACCCACCCACCCACGGAAGGACGAGGCGGAAACAGTATGCCCCTTCGGCTTCGCCGCGGGGCATAAAAATAATAGTAAATTCTTACAATAACAATAGGTGTTGGGCTCAGGCCCAACACCTAATAATCTACGAAGAAGTCAGCGAAGCAGGTGCCAACCGGAAAGATACCGAAATTAGCACCAGGCATTAATTGACTGAACACTTTGCAGCAATGGACTCAACCATGAACCAGTACTCGAAGCATGCGCGTACGCATGCCGCAAATACGCAAAACGCAGATTTTTTCAAAGTTATGTGCGCGTTGGATGTGCGTCTTGAAAACCGTTAGACTGGACGTGACGAACAAGACGCGCTGCGTCACCCTTCACATTGCAACGGCAACGAGACAACACGTATAATTTCTTCTTCTAAGTTAAAGATGTTTCGAAAACCAACCAATTACAACAAGAGAGGAGGGTGGTGGAGGCCAAGGCCGGGCTACATGCCAAAAAGATGTAAGGGCAGGGATGAAAGGGAAGTGAGACAAGAGAAAGACAGGGTCGAGCGGAAAACAAAGGCAGAAAGAGACAGTGGCGAGCAGAAAGCAAGAGAAGAAAGAAGAAGTCGTCGTAGTCGTTCTGAGCTCGAGGAGCTTTTGGTGTCAATGGAGACACCAAGGCCACCGTCGTCAACCTACGAGCCCCTCAGCCCCACCCCCTCTATGAGGAAATGGATGGTGGATGATTTTGAGCAGGCGACTGCCGAAATATTGAATGGAATCAAGGAAGAAGAGAGGACGTCAAAGGTCACACCAGTACCAGCGGAGGCACCGTCAACTGAAGTGCCGACATCTCCCATCTCCAATCCTTCAAACCCAGATCCTCGGTATTTTCGTGCAGCGAGACGGGAAGAACCCAAGTCCACGGCTGGAGGGGAAGTGGCATGGATGAGGCAGCAGGCGTTGACCACAAGAACAATAAAGTCTCGGCATGACCAGCTGCACGAAATCGACTTCGGAGTCACAGTGAGACAAGTGACAGAGACAGCCATTTTTCCGGATGGCTGGAGATACGAGGTAAAGTACACTGAATACAACCTGCCTTCACATACCAATAGAGGCCCACACATGTGGACAACGTCATCCGGTAGTCTGTAAAGCTCCCTATAACTCAGGAGAGTTATACTTCTTAGGTGAGGGGGGGTGTTATTAGTTTAACACCAGTGAGGGGTTAAGCTCCCTCTACTGACCCAGCCAGGTGTAGCAGGGGGGTGTACCTGCATCGCCGAACCCTTTGGATTTTATCGACTGAGGAGTAATCTGAAGTCAGCCACCACACCTTGTCCCTTGGGGTGTAAAATACAATGCCGGGTCTACCAGTCTAATAATGCAGCTGCGCAGATCGACATGTCGTCACCATCATCATGAAGCTAGCCTCAACTATTTCAGTCAATCGAGTTATTCCGCACAAGATCATCAAGTGTTCATCGATGGGGCTATCTAGCCCGGCTATCCAGCGCACCAGGGTCAGCCACCCTCAGCTTTAGAGTTCATCAATGGGGCTATCTAGCCCGGCTATCCAGCGCACCAGGGTCAGCCACCCTCAGCTTTAGAGTTCATCGATGGGGCTATCTAGTAATTTCGCCCCCGTTACAATATATTGCTTGCTAGTATAACCTAAATTATAGGAACGGGGCCCGCAACCACACAATGGCCATACAACATAGGCCTACAACATGGCCCGATTGATAAAACAGAAATGTTTTCATAAGTTCGCTCCTCATATTCATGGCAGATTTGATTGATTTGATAAGAACTTTTATTGGGTTTGATGACAGTGAAAACGATGGTGAAGGCAGACGGAGAATTTTCATTCAGCACAAACGAGAAGAGGAAGCAATGGTTTGCACTGTCTCTGAAATCACCGTTACAAATAACAAAGTCATTGTCCTTATCCCACACTTAGTCTCGGTTCTCGACACTCCTTGTGTTTTTATTCAACGAGTGCACAATCAACCCACCCCAAAACCATTATCACGAACCATCGCCGATAGAGGGCGCTATCACACACAGACCGCTTTCAGCCTCGAACTGGTATCACACACAAACCGCTATCAAAGGAGCATCTCGGGAAACTCGTGCGATATCACGTGACAAAAAGGCAGTGACCTCAACATGCATATTCAAGAAAGGTTACAATGGAAATACGCAAGCGCAAAAGCACAATTATAATACTGCATAATGAGCATATCAGCCTGGTACAGTTCGTCTGCATTCATATCGCATGTGTACATACACATGCACTGTGTGTTGCCAAAATGCGCTCAGCCATGCGTTTTGGTTGTGTACGTATGTAGACGTATGCTACTGGTTGAAAGTTTTGATGAATGGCGCGGCGGTAAGCATTCGTCGAGCTCAGTACGTGTTGCATTGATGTTGACAGACTGAAGAATGGCCAATCTACGATGCATTTGTTGTATACACTCCTCATGCATATCAGAGAAGTTGTTTTTACGGGGCTAAGGCTGCTGGTGAATACTTGCAAGTGTGTATTAGCAAACCCTATTGTTATTAACATGAGTCATCCACTGAGCCAGTTTAGGAATTAAAATGGAGATTGCTATAGTATAATCCTTGTGTCCACACACAAAAATTCCTAGAGTAATAACTGGCATGTGTAGGTTTTTTTTTTTGAGGGGGGGGGGGGAAGGGGGGTTGAAAATAGCGGGTTCTTCTTGGTTAAGGTACTTAATGTAGAGTATCTCTTACAGGTGATTAACTCTCGGTTACAAATTACACAACAGTGAAATTTTCTTGGCCGTATGCAACTGCCAGCAGAGCCTATGGCTCTGCTGTACGCTCCGCCATTATCATACTTTATTTGTGATCGACAACGTATGTGTACCGTACGTACCACGCGTCGACGTCGGCGACCAAATGTACATTGTCGATCCATTACAAAACAAGCCAATAAACAGTTACTGCGTGTTCTGCAAAACAGTCGTTCAGGTACTAGACATAATATCACGTGTTCTCCATGCTGGCATTTTTTATGCAAATGACCACATAACAGGGCGTCAAGTTTTGCACACGGCACTTTTTGCCCGGAAAATCGCGGGCAGTTTTACGAGTTTCCCGAGACGCTCCTGTGATAGCGGTTCGTGTGTGATAGCGGTTCATGGCTGATAGCGGTCTGTGTGTGGTAGTGCCCTCTAACAGCGATGGTTCGTGAAACCGGTGGTTTTTGGGTAGGTTGATTCTGCACTCGTTGAATAAAAACACAAGGAGCGTCGAGAACCGAGACTATCCCACACTATCAGCATTGTGTCGCACAGGCGCGGTTCTAGCGCCTATATTTTAGGGGGCTAGCAGGGGTGGATCAAGAAATGTATGCAGGGAGGAGTGCTGAAATGTAGACAAGTTTTTTCTCCGACACTTAGGCCTCCAAAATTCAATAGGTGGGTGGGGGGGGGGGGGAGTGGTGGGTGGGGGGGGGGGGGAGTGGGGGGGGGAGTGGTGGGGGGGGGAGTGGTTGGGGGGGGCTTGTACCATATTTTCAATGTGGAGCGCTAACAACCTCCTACAATCATGCACACTACATGTATTTTACCTAATAGTGTACAAATGCCCCCTTCTCATGCTTTTTTTTTGGGGGGGGGGGGACCATTCGCATGTAACGTCACCTTCTAACATTTGTTACTGCCTTTTTTTATGAATTTAATTATTTGTTCATTGATTTTTTTGGGGGGGGGCTTAATGAATTTTTAAAAAATGTCATTGATTTTTTTTGGGGGGGGCTAGACAGGGAGCCCCCCCCATTCCCCCCCCCTAGAACCACGCCTGGCGTCGCGTCAGACAGTGCAGACTATTTTAGCACCCAAAAATTATCCATTTAGGTCAAAGGTTATTGTGCACAATGCCTGCAATCAGACATTATGCCAGTCACTCACGACGAATGAACGCAAGTCCGAGTGGGAACACACGATAGACTTACACAAAGGAATGTTGCGGTAAGTTTCCGCGCTGCTGTGGAAAAAAAGGCCAAATAAAATTGTCATGTTTATATTGTGCTTTCCATCCTATCAAAAATGTCAAAGCGCTTTAAAATTATTCCCCCATTTCATCAGGCCTCGAGCCCACGTGGCAGCTGATATCAGCGCTCATTTGGTCCTCGGCCCATTCATACTCCTGGGAGGAGAGAGGCAAAAATAAATAAGTGTGATCTTGCCCAAGGGCACAAACGCCATGTACCATCGTACATGAGTCACACACCGTAAGCACTGAACAGTGGCATCCTACTTTTAACTATTAGTTACACTATATTCATAAATACCTAAGACAGTTTACCCATTCCTACTGGTCATGAGCCTGTCATATGGCCAGTCTTAAACGGATGATAAAGACCAGCTAAAAGAAAATGGTCACATGAAAATGGTACTCCAATAAAATTCAATGCCTTTTACTGTTTTATTGGTTGAACATTCACAATCCTCAAGTATAGGCATGCGCAAAACTACCAGTGAGCCAGTATTTCATAGTCAACGCACCGCCACAGCTGCATTCTGCGCGACATCGCGCAGTATGCTCGACGCGCACGCCAATCTCCATAAAATAAGTTGTTTCTGACTTACTCACGAGCTAAACACTCCATTATAAGCTAGAGGTGTGTTTCAAAAAACATGAAGTAAAATTGTTGAACAAAATCGTTGGTAATTTAAGAATTTTGACTTGTTTTGACTTTTGGATGGAAAAGTTTAGATTTTTTTACCAAAAAGGTATTTATAAATGGGAATACATACGTGCTTGGTCATTATCAAACACTAAGACCGATTGGAGTCTGGATGCTGATAATTACCCTCGCCTTCAGCTCAGATAATTATCAGCATCCAGACTCAATCATTCTTAAACAGAGTGTTTTAAACCTTGCAAGCACACATTTATTCCCTTATTAAAAGGCAAACTCACGATATAGACACGGCACCCTTGCACCTCATGTTGCTACAAGAATAATGAGGAATGAAGTCCACGTTGAATGAAGGAAGGCTCGCCATGAAATGTCGACACCTTAATGGGACGTTGTAGGTCAGACCATCAAAGGTCCTCACTGAATCGCCGTGGAAAACATGACAGTGGCCTGGAGGGTAGAAATACCGGGAATTTGTTAAAATAGAAGATCCCGTTAATCAAAAAGTGGCCTTGAGAAAGCATTTCGTTTCTGCTACAATTAACCTTTAACAAAATTACGTTTGACTGTTGACTCCAATAAGGAACTCACTGTTTCTGAGATTTCTCCAGCATTGTTTTGTAGCTTTGGCAGGTGTCTTTGTTATTTTTCTTTTCTGTATGGTGCCATATAAAGTGCTTATCAAGTTCTGTGGCCGATTCCCGGTTGTTGTTTTTGTGATTTTGAAAAAAAAAATGGGGGGGGGCTGAATTAAAAAGGTTACTGCTTATTGGTTTATAGCTGAAATATTGTGCTATTCAACTACAGCTGAAAAATTGTACTGACCCTAACTACATTTCACAGTGTGGACATGCTATCGCTTGGACATGCTATAGGCTGTCCTGAATATACCAAATATTTGAATATTCCATTATCTGTTTGCCAGTTTGAAAATTTGAAAAGGGAACACTATGCACCTGCGCACTTGACAGTGGTGTCATTTAAATCGTAAAGTTGCGTTTTTATTATATGTCGATGGTAACTTTCTTGTAGACACCTATTTATTGCTCCCATTCTTTTTTGCTGGGTAAAGTCCCTGGACAGTCATACAGTACTTACTCATATCAATTTGTTTTAAGAAAATTGTAAACCTAACAAGACTGTTAAAATCCCCGCAGTGTTGTGTACGCATCCATCACAGGGCTGTGTGCTTCAACCTTGTGATGAACATCTTGCTTCACAGAACAAACTATGTTTGACCACAGGGGTGTATATGGTTCCTTCTGTGTGCGGTATAAGCTCTTAAGTAGTGGACACATGTACACGCATATCTCAAATCGTGGTCCATTCGTGGTTCATTTGAAGATTTGTAAGTAACAGCTCCAATTGCACAACTATACTTCAACAAAACTATAGGCTATATCGCTCATCATTCACTCTAATCCTCGTGTACACTCTGAAAGAAGCAAATGGCCCTCACCGACCATACTGGTCCCTCATGATCACAATGTAGGCCTCTACATGTATAATCTCCCCATAGGCAATAATGGTCTATCTTGTCCCACACGCACAATGGATACCATAGTATGTACCAAGGGTTGAAGTGGGCCCTAATAACAACACTCAATGATTGAGTGTTCGGGCACAACTCGACCACTGATTGGAGTTGTTACAATAAATCTTCTTTCTTTCTTTCTTTGAGTGGTCGGGCACAACCTGACCACTCTTTGGATCTGTTGTGATTAATCTTTCTTTCTTTCTTTTTTTCCGGACAATACTTCTCCGCGGGTTTTCTTTTAAACGGTATATGGTAAAAGCTTGTAACTTAGAATATATATCGACCCTCATCCGAAGTGGTGCATATTACTCTGACGTCATGATTACGTCATCAGGTGTCAATTTACAAGCGATTTTCGTTGAAAAAATGACAATATTATTTCACCTATAACTCTAGAACCAAACATTCAATGATGTATTCTGTAATCAGATAGACCATGAATTGCTGAACAGTTTTTGTCGTGTATGTGAACTCGCTGGACCTTTACTTCCGGGTCTACGGGAAGGTCAAAAATAGGTGAATTCAAAATGAAGACATTAGCCTGACATCAAAACAAAGCAACATTTCTTCCGAACCGTTTACGGTATGATCACAAAACCTTGTGTGAACTTGTTACGAAGATGTTACAAATTTTGTTCAGGAATCAAGACGTCATCAGGTATCAAATTACAAGCGATTTAAGGGCAAATTTTGACAAAATAGTTTGTGTTATATCTTTTGTACTAAATAAAGAATCGTGTTCGTTTTTTCGTGAGGTTGTAGACTATGCCGTGAGGAACATTTCTTGTCCCAAGACACAAAACCGCTTGACCTTTACTTCCGGTGTTACCGGAAGTGCAATGAAAACTGAATATAACTCAAAAGCGGAAGCATTTTACTACAGACATGTATTATGCAAGTGTTTAGTAAGAAATGCAAGTCCCAAAAAAACAGTGTGATGACGTCATCATCCAAAAGGGCGCCCCCTAGTGGCACATAAAATGGTGTTTGTTTTCTTTAATCTGAAGACCATCGGTTCTAATTTTACCAAATCGCTCCTGGATATTCTTTGATTAACCACACGACTTGGCAAGGTTTCAAATTCATGACGTCATCAGACCAGAAGTTACGTCTATGAGAATTTGTAAACGATCATATTTTAAATTGAATTCTATCATTTGATCCATGTCGTATCTCTTCGTAGCCCAAATAACGATATCCATTCGGCACAACCCGACCACTCTTTGGATTTGTTGCGATTAATCTTTCTTTCTTTCTTTCTTTCTTTCTTTTTTTTCCGTACAGCACGTTTCCGCGGGTTTTCTCCTAAACGGTATATGATATGAACTTGTAACTATTAGCATATATTGACCCTCATTCCGAGTAGTGCATATTACACTGACGTCATGATGACGTCATCGGGTGTCAAATTACAAGCGATTTTTGTTGAAAAATGACGATCTTCTTTCATCTATAACTCTTCAACAAAATGATCAATTATGCTCCAACCTTGTAATGAGATAGACCATGAATTGATCAACATTTTTTGTCGTGTACGTAAACTCGCTTGAACTTTACTTCCGGGTCTACCGGAAAGTCAAATTTAGGTGAATTCAAAATGAAGACATTAGCCTGAAATCGAAACAAAGCACAATTTCTTCCGAACGGTTTACCGTTTAGATCATAAAACCTATTGTGAACTTGAATCATGTTACGAAGATGTTATAAGTGTTGTTACGTCATCATGACGTCATCAGGTATCGAATTACAAGCAATTTGATTGCACGATTTGACAAAATAATTTTACCTATATCTCTTGAACTAAATAGAGTATCGTGTTCGTTTTTTCGTGAGGTTGTAGACGGTACCTAGAGCAACATTTCTTAATTCCAGGCACAAAACTGCTCGAGCTTTACTTCCGGTGTTACCGGAAGTGCAATAAAAACTAAATCTTACTCTAAAACGGAAGCATTTTACTACAGACAGATATATTATGGAAGTGTTAAGTGAGGAATGCCAATCACAAAAACGTAATTTTGACGTCATCCCACTAAAAGGCGCCCTCTAGTGGCACATCGAAAACCGTTTAATCTTTTAAAATGTTACAGCCCTTGATCAAATTTTTATGATAATTGCCCCTATATATCCCCTTATGCAACCACAAATGAATTTGCAAGGTTTCATAATCATGACATCATCAGACCGGAAGTTACTGTAGGGAGAATTCAACAATGATCATTTTATTTTGAATTTAAATCCATCATTTGATCCCTGTCTCATGACTTTGTTCCCCCCCCCCCCCGAAAAAAAAATGACATCTGTTACACTTAATATTGACCTTTTGCTTCCAAATACTGTGACTTCATCAAACTGGAAGTTATCTGTTAGTATTACATGCACTAAATTTCCATATTTCCATGCGTTATTTTACTAAATAATAAACAAGTGTCCTCCCTTCCCTGTTTGACTGATGACGCCATCAAACCGGAAATAACTTGTACGTGTACCTAACTGTTTACTGAAATGTATCATACCTTAAAAGATGCAATCTTTTTGTACAAAATAATTGGTACTGGAAATGTTGAAGTTCTCGGTCCTTTTTTTCTGACATAAACATATTCATAACTTAATTGGACAATCTCTAATAAAATGGTTGTCTACCCGACCACTCTGCGTTTGTAACAACAAACGCGAACCTCTAGTTTTAACTTTACAATGAAAAATTATCCTCTCCGAACTTTATCAGTACTCACTAACCTTTTTTGACTGATAACGTCATCAAGCCAGAAATAACTTTTTGTGCACATAGAATGTTTACTGAAATTTATCACACCGTTAAAGATACCTTTTTGAAACATTGATTGTACTTGAAGGGATTTAATTTCGTGATCCTTTTTTCTACATAAACATATATTCCTAACTTAACTGGGCAGTGAATAATGAAAAGGCTGTCCGCCCGACCACTCTGCGTTTGTAACTCAACAAACGCGAAACTCTAGTCTTTTTTTTTTTTTTCGTACGGCATGTTTCCGAGGGTTTTCTCCTAAACGGTTTATGATAGGAACTTGAAACTTTCAATATATATCGACCCTCATCCTAAGTGGTGCATATTACTCTGACGTCATTATGACGTCATCGGGTGTCAAATTACAAGCGATTTTGGTTAAAAAAACTGACAATCTTCTTTCACCTATAACTCTTGAAGAAAGTAATCAATTATGTTCCCACCTTGTAATCAGATAGACCATTAAGTGATAAACTTTTTTGTCGTGTACGTAAACTCGCTTGACCTTTACTTCCGGGTCTACCGGAAGGTCAAAATTAGGTGAATTTAAAATGAAGACGTTAGCCTGAAATCAAAACGAAGCACAATTTCTTCCGAACGGTTAACGGTATGATCACAAAACCTTGTGTGAACTTATACATGTTTCGAAGATGTTGTAAATTTTGTTTCGTCATCATGACGTCATCAAATATAAAATTACAACGATTTAAGGGCAAATTTTGACAACACAGTTTGCGTTATACCTTTTGAACTAAATGGAATATCGTGTTCATTTTTTCGTGAGACTGTAGACTATGCCGTGAAAAACATTTCGTGTTCCCAGACACAAAACCGCTTGACCTTTACTTCCGGTATTACTGGAAGTGCAAGAAAAACTGAATATAACTCAAAAGCGGAAGCATTTTACTACAGACATATATATTATGAAAGTGTTTAGTGAGGAATGCTTGACACACAAACAGTGTGATGACGTCATCATCCGAAAGGGCGCCCCTTAATGGCACATAGCATAGTGTTTGCTTTCTTTAATTTTAAAACCTTAAGTTCAAATTTTACCAAATCGCCCCTTGATATTCTTTGATTAACCACAGATAACATGGGAAGGTTTCAATTTCATGACGTCATCAGACCGGAAGTTACTTCTATGAAAATTTACTTCTATGATCATATTTTAAATTCAGTTTGATCATTTGATCCATGTCGTATATCTTAGCCCAAATAATGATACGTTACAATGATCTCATTTTGCTTCCAAATACTGTGACGCCATCAAACCAGAAGTTCGGTGTTATGAATATATACACTTATATTTTCCAAATTTTCATACGTAATTTAACTTCACATTGAACATCTATTTCGAACTAAATCAGTATTCAATTCCTGTTTTTGAATAATGACGTTATCAAGCCAGAAATAACTTGTATGTGCACTAAGGAATGTTCACTGAAATTTAACACACCTTTAAAGATGCATTTTTTAAACAAAATAATTGATTGTCCTTTAAAGGAATTAATTTCCAGATCCTTTGCTCTTACCCAAAAATATTCATGACTTAACTGGACAGTGTTTCATAAAATAATTTTCTACCCGACCACTCTGCGTTTGTAATAACAAATGTGAATCTCTAGTTCTTTCTTTCTTTCTTTTTTTTTTCCGGACAATAAGTTTCTGTGGGTTTTCTCCTAAACGGTATACATGTATGGTAGGAACTTGTAACTTTCAACATACATGTATATCAACCCTCATCCCTACTGGTGCATATTACTCTGACGTCATGATGACGTCATTGGGTGTCAAATTACAAGCGATTTTAGAGGAGAAAGTGGCCAAATACTTTCAGATATAACTCTTAAACAAAATGATCAACTATGATCCAGCTTTGCAATCAGATAGACCATTAGTTGATAAACAGTTTTTGTTGTGTCATGAACTTGCTTCACCTTTACTTCCGGGTCTACCGGAAGGTCAAAGTTACGTGAATTAAAAATGAAGACTTTAGCCTAAAATCAAAACAAAGCAAAATTTCTTCCGAACGGTTTACGCTTTGATCATCAAACCTAGTGTGAACTTGTAACATGTTACTAAGATGTTGTAATCTTTGTAACGTCATCATGACGTCACCAGGTATCAAATTACAAGCGAATTAAGGGCACATTTTGACTAGATAGTTTGCGCTATATCTTTTGAATTAAATAGAGAATTGTGTTCGTTTTTTCGTAAGGTTGTAGACTGTGCCCAGAAAAACATTTCTTTTCCCCAGACACAGAACCGCTTGACCTTCACTTCCGGTGTTACCGGAAATGCAACAAAATGCGAATATAACTCAAAGGCGGAAGCATTTTCCTACACCCAAATAAGCTATGAAAGTGTTAAGTGAGGAATAGAGGACACAAAAATATGTGATACCCTGTGGGATTTACATTTCAATAACATCTGGTACACTGACTTGCTCAGAATGCTTGGCACATTTTAACTTTGAATTCTTCAGACCAAAGACACTGTTGCTAATCACATGATTGGGGGCAAGCTCTTGCATAGTTATGCTCAGCAGACGCTCAGCATCAATACATCGCTCACAATGGGTGAGAATGGCACAAAGACACCAGACCATGCCAGAACAGGGTGTTGCTAGCATAAGGCTTGCCCCGAATCACGTGATGTAGTAACAGTCTCTTTGGTCAGGAGAATGCAAAGTTAAAATGTGCAAAGCATTGGATTAAGTCAGTGTTCCAGATTTTATTCAAATTTAACTCGCAAATGGCTTATTGTACTGGAAGGGATTTAATTTGGTGATCCTTGTTCTACATAAACATATATTCCTAACTTAACTGGGCATGGCAGTGTATAAAGAAAAGGTCGTCCGCCCGACCACTCTGCGTTTGTAACTCAACACACGCGAACCTCTAGTTGGATCTTAATTTTGACGGATCTAAGAATTGGCCAATCAATTGTACCATCAGTGAAAAGGGTATTTCATCAGCTTTCCATCAGTGTGTGAACTTTTCTAAAAGAACGTATAGTTTGTGAGTTACAGCGTTGAACACAAGGCGCGAACGCCCCCAAGAGGGGGAAATTCTTCCTGCGGAATCCTTCCACACACACAATAAAAATTGGAGTATTGATATTTTTGACGGTGTTTTGATAGGACTGCTTTGTGGCTCAGACAATGCAGTCTGTACATTTCATTTGAGGTCAGAAACATCCCGAGTGAACCTAGTAAATTCATTGAATGGTTCTCAAGAACAGCATGATATGTCTCCCAAAATAATGGCATGATTTTTCACCTTTTTCTACATTTTTTCCACCTGGTTTATCATGTTTTCAGCCACAGTCACTCAGTTTACACAGCAAATCGATATATTTGCAATTGCAAAACACTCAACCGTTCCTAATAACCATTGCCACATGCACTACCGCTTTGTACACTATTTTCCACTGCTGAGGAAGGCTGCTGCAGCTGACGTGTGTAAAACTTGATTGGCAAGTTTGAATATTGGAATATTGGTCAAGTGCAGTTTTGAATAATCGAATACTAAATTATTAAGAAATGAACAGCCCTATCATGCTATAACTGGCATGCATAAAGAGTTTGCCAATATGGCTGCGTCTGGAAGTGCCTAGCTACAGCTGGCAGTTAGGCATGCTCATATAAAAGAAGCCAAATAAGTCCGCGGAAGTTAGCATGCTCATTGCTATACACACTGCATGTTTTTATTTTAGCCTCCATGAGGTGGTGAAATGCTCTATTAGCAGAAAACTGCTTGCTTATGATGCCATGAAATTGGAACCAAGTACACTTCCCAAATATGTTGTGAATAATGATCTCACTGATATTTACCGTATTTGGCTAAGGAGCAAAGGCATTTCGAGTTTGCATTGATGCATGGGCTGCATGCGCATTCCTTCACTACGCAAACGCCTGGCAGTGCAGAATACGTAATCGGCGCATCGACGCTGATTGAGAGCGTACTGCGCAAGGTGCGCGCATATCAAAGAAGACAGCTAGCACGTACGCCATGTGCGCTCGCGTTATCTCTTGCACATCACGCCACGTACGAACAATTTGTATAATTTCAGGACTGCGCCGTGCCTGTTCAAAATGGATACTGGAAGTCTCAGTTTTCCGTTTTAAAAAATGTAATCTTGTGTTGTATTGGGGCGACAGTGGGACGAAAGTTTTTGCTCTGTAACACGACATAGAAATCTCGTGTTTGAAAGGATTAAATCTGCAATAAATTAAAGAAAACTTTTAAATTATAAGCACTGTGTCGCGCATTAACCCCTTAAGGAAGGGGTGTAATGGGGACATTCCTCCACACATAGAGCAAGTGGCCCGCATGACTGCACAGCCTTTGTGTGGTAGCGGGACTGCACAAAAGCAGCTGCTGTGGAACTACCCACTAGCCGTGTGCCACGACGTGCCACGGCATGCCACGGCATACCACAGCTGGCAACTGCATTCCAATAAGGATTAGCGGCTGCGGCCATGACCGCTTCCCGTATGCATGGGGTTAAACACATTGCCTGCAGTCCTTATTTTTAAAGGTCACTACTTATTTACATACATTTACACACATTTGCATTGAGTTCGGCTCATGACTAGAGCGATGTCTGAAACAAAGTCGCTCCTGAGTCGTTCTGAACGACTCCGACCATCCATCTTTTGCCATCTGGCGCGTCTTGTCGCTCCTATTTGTTTCAGACGTCGAACGTTTCATGTTCTTAATTTAAATCGTGCCTTTAATTTGGATCGGCGCGACTCTAGCACGCCTGTCTGAACTGAGGGTAACATGTTCCAGAACACTACTTTTGTTGGCTTCATCATGGCATATCACTCCGAAATTAACAAAATCAAGGCTAAAAGCTCCTATCATCATTCCCTTGGTTTGATGATTTTTGTCATTGTTTCATTTATATCACATTACAACAAAAGTTTAATGATAATCACACCCAAACACAGTGATCTTGTACACCTACCATCGGGTTGCCCTTCAACAATCGGCTCCCGAGTCGGTTCTTGCAGTAGCTGTGATTGCCTCTTTTGGTTTTCAACATCTAAATTAGAAAAAAAAAATACAATGAAGATTTGATGGCAATCTTTTTAAAATACCATATCTCATCCACACTTGTTAGTTGATGGAGGTAAACAATTGAAAACAATTTAAGAAAATATCAGTCTGATCAGGATGTCAAGCGGCATACATAATTACCCTCAAATGGAACCAATGCGTCTGCCGGTATTGTGCAAGCTTTGTCGCTAAGGCTGCATTCACCCATATCCTCAGGGCACTTCGGGCTGCAATGAGCTGGAGAAATCAGACAGGAAGCTCTTAGATTCATGGAACAGGCATTCAAGGACAAAAACATGTATAAAGTACACTCACGGCCATGACAGTGTTAGCTGCTTAAACTGGACTTCAGAAGTTATAATGAAACCACAATGTCAGTGATTAGTTGGCAGATCTGAGGACAGAATGAGGAAACACGCCTCATTAGATGTCTTAGGGCCTTATTCACGAGTCTGCCATATTGAATTGAAAGTTAGGTAAAATCTTAATTTTTGGAACTTGCGAAGAGAAATGAAAGCAAGGTATGTCTCTAACAGTCCTGAATCCCAGTCCAATTTTAATACGATTTTACATGCCCCCTAGTTAAATGCCCCCTGGTTAAATTTCAGTCTGCTTCAATAAATAATTTAACATATTTGTAGACATTCCCTAATGTTTAAAGCCATATTTGAAAAAAAAAATGATGGCAAAATATGGCTGCATTGTGCCTGCATAAAAAAGTCATCCCATTCAACAGTTAACAATTTATGAAATACATTCAGGGAACTCAACAAAAATGGCCAACTCGTGAAAAAGGCCCATACTATCATAAGGTGAATATGTACTGAGATTAAGTCACAAAAGTAATGATCCATACACACATTGTGCATGCTCGCAAAGCAGTGATGCTTGCAATCTTTGCAAGCATCTTTGATTGAAACAAATTGGGATGGGGATGTATTATACACGAACATTGATGTGATGCCATGATGACGTCATCACGTGTCACAAGACGTCACATTAAAGGAAACATGCAGTAGAAATTCAGCTCATCTTGTTTTCATGCACATTACTATGTGTTGCAACAATACAAGATCTTAATACTTAGTGCTTATAAAAAAGATAATCAACTAAAAATTAAAATGAATTGATAATTCAAAACTATCTAAAAATGCTACACCACCATAACTTACGTTTTCCACAGTAATAGGGTCTAGCTTCATCATCACAGCAAACTTTTCTGCAAATGGAAATGAAAAAAACTCCATGTTTAGGCCAAGCACTAGATATCAATAATCAAGGAAAGAACATGAAGAATGTTGCATCCTGATGCCACTTTTTTTCATCATATAGGCCTATCATCTCAATGAACTCAGTCAGTCGGTCTGAATCTGAATCTGAATGGTACAGTTGGCAATGCATCCATCAGGAAACATCACACCAACTTGTTAGTTAGTTTGGGGGTGGAGCTGGATGTAATTTCAACAACCTACCATATTTGGAACCACTAAACAATTTGAGGGGTGTCTTCCCAGATTCAATGACACTGGATAGTTAGGAAACTGTTCCAATCTTCGATTGTCCTGGGGAAGAAACTGTTGTTGAAGGTTCTTGTTCTGGCATACCCTGTACAGTTGATTTAGTTTGTGTTTATGCCCCCGCGATGATCAAGTATTTGAAGTACGGTAACAAAGGCCTCTGCTGGTACATCAACTGTGTTGTTCACTATCTTGTTCAGCATTAGTTATAATCTGCTAAGTTTGCTTTGTTGTTCAAGGGTAAGCCATTCATGGTTTTGGAGAAGTGATGTAACTGCGATTTATACACAGACTCAAATTAAAGGAACCTTCACACTTTTCTTCTGTGTTTGTAGCTTGTGCCACAGCCAAAATTTTATTGCCGGACACCGATTGTAATGGCAATCCGGTTTTAATCAAAGGCATAAAAAATAATCGCAATTAGCAGACACGCAATCAGTGCTCAGTGCACTCTTTGAATGGCTGTGACAGAGTGGCAAAAAAATGTGCGGTTCCCGCAAAAAAACAAGTCCCCACGCCAAAGCAGCACATTCCATTGGCTGAAGTTTTATTAAACCCCCATTTAGAATCCAGGTGATTTATCATTTTACAAAACGTAATCCGCCCTTGAAGGAAAAACGCCATTGCGCGACCTCGCCTCAAGGAATTACAGACCGCTCCGTCCAGACCACTCGCCCATCCGTCTGCTAAAAGTCGTAAAGGCGGCCGTGTTGAAAGATTTGTATAAACAATCATAATGCCGAACGTAGAATAATTTTTCAATCAATAAAGACACTGCCGCAAACTGGGACATTATAATTCACCGAGTATAATATCTTTTACCCTACATGTTATTACGGTTAAAAGGTAGTTGTAGATGAATCTAATTGCCTGTCTTTAGGAAGATAAGTTGAAGTTTAGTTTTGTCTTCAGGGATGCAATGGATTTCCTAAGCACATCTAACTGGAGACCTTGGTGATCGTTTGGTGATCTATAAACAATAAGTTCCTATGGTTTTAATTTAATTTGTTGTGTGTTCGCTTAATTTCAGTCCAGATGATTTCGCAGTCACCCTCGGCATTGTCAAATTCATTGGAGGCCAAGTCTTGGTGAATAGCCTGAAAGACGCCCCCACCTGTTGTATTCACAACCCAGTCTCTGTGATAAACTTTGTACCGGTAGTTTGATGGGAAGATTTCGCTACTATTTATTGATGGGTTTAACCACGATTCGGTACCACAGCTTATGTCAGATTTATATGTACTTATGAGAGCTGCTAGATCAGCTGTTGTCCCTCTAATGCTCTGACAGTTGATTAACAGGCTTTCAAATTGTCTTTCTTTATGTGTTCACATGGGATTCAGGCATGTAGTTGAGATCCCTGGGAGAAAACTACTGAAGTCTCGTTGACAAAAGAGTTCAGCTAATTGTTGAGGAAGAATCGAGAACCTTGCTAATTCACAGTTAATGCAAATCGAGCTGGAGTCTGAAGCTTGCAAGATTACATAGGTTTTGCCCTTCACCGACGTATTAACACCGTATAGTGTGTTATATACCTCCGCAGTGAAAGTCAGAAAAAAATCCCTCGGGTAGGAAGCAACCCACAACCTCCTGCTTTCTAGATTGGTAGAGTGAGACATTCCAACACAATGTGCATGAATCCAGCAATCACAGTTGTCACATTGTACAGCTCAGACATCAATATTCTGGACAGATTCTGGCAAACACCAAACATGTACAACGGTACAAGCTAGCTGAGTGACACACATCCGATTAAAGGCGAGTTGGACCCGGGTTGATTTCAATATCCCCGTTAACAACAATAGCCAGAAAACAATGGATTTGGTTTCTTTTTTTGCCTTGGCTACACGTGGCTTTGAGGCTGGTAAGGGGATGGAGTGCCAAGTATAACTGTTCCTTTTCACAAATTTGATTGTAAACACATGATGCAGTTCATTAGCGTTGGGAGCTGTATGAGGGATATTAAACCTATACTTCAAAGGCAACTGACTCAAGAGCATCATTGGCCGAATGAAGAGTTACAAATCCAAGATGGCGATTCCAAGACAAGTGGAATAGGCAATGGGGTACATACAACCATGACTCACCAACGATTTGTTGAACACAAAACATCAAAATTACGACAACAAACTCCACCAAAGATGACACAACATTTACCAAGTCACAAAGCACCAGTAAGCGTATCCAGCTTTGGAAGTCGGGCAGGGGGGGGGCAACCGCATACCCACTCCGAAATGTAGACATGTTTTTTCTCCGGACACTTGGCCTCCATAAAATCAAATAGCAGGGCCCCCTCCTCTCTGGATATGCCAATGGAAAGCACAGTAGTCACACATCAAAATACGACTTTACAGGGTACAGATAAATTTAAGACACAAGGACAAGAGCTGAAACAAAACGTGTCTGTTCCCACGTGCGCCACAAGCATGACAAGGCATGTACTTTGTAGTGCATTACAACAGCAAAAGGAAAGATTCACATATATCTGGCCATCACTATTTTTTTCCTTCAGTTCAGACCTATCAGCCATCAGAAAGTGCATGGTCACTCATAGTCCCACTAACTGGGGCGCTAGAACTCCATTTTGTGGTCTCCGTATTGCTGCGCTGTATGTTAGGCCACACGTCTGGTTTACCAACCTACTGACATGACTGAGGAGTTTAGTCCGAAACTGGCGCATATCAGCATATGGACTCCAGAAAGATATCTAAATTTCTCGAAAAGTTTGAAGGAGGACGAAAGATGAGAAATCATAGAATACAACCATATACATGTACAGCATGTACAGTGGTATGTAAAAACAAAAATCCAAAAAAGGGTGCGCCAGGGTTTGGACTGAACTCCTCAGTAGGTTGGAAAACCAGACGTGTGGCTACAGCGCAGCAAAACGGAGGCCATGGGCGATACGCCAGGCTAACATCCCAAATCATCCTCAAAAAAGGAGTTCTAGCGCCCCAGTTAGTTGGACTAACTCAGTTGCTGCCTTGCTCCGCCCTGTGCTGGATACCCACGGCCACAAGGTGCTGCTGCTAACCTCATCAGCCCTGCCTACCCACATGACCCATGAAGGCGTGAACGTGGCGTTGTAATACACGCAACGTTACTTCAGAGGAAAAAATTGCTATAGAAATCTCCACGCACGCGCAACCGTTAGCACATCCACGCCGTGAAATAGTGCAATTGTTTTTGCTAGTGCTAGCTACAGCTAACAATTAGGCACAACTTTTCGGCGGACCGCCGCCGGGACCGGAATACCTAACCGTACCCGTACACTACATATGATTCTGTGTACGACCGGCAAGAGGCATTCAGGCTACGTATTATATCAGCCCTGTTTTGAGATTCGCGCCGGTCGGTTACCAGACCAATGACACCGTCGATTACTTAGCCTTCCACCAACCAACGTCACCGTGGCTTTTACCGTCATTATTAGACGGAGCGGCAAAGCCGCGAAGTGACTGGAGCGGAGACCACACGTACGACGAGTACGATTGCGGGCAACCTCGTCCCCAGGGTGTCGAGCAGTACGCGCCCACCACTACCTGCTCTCTCACCTAGTCCGAGTAACTTGGACCCAACTTATCGCCTTTTTTAACATTTGGACATGGTCTGGCGATAGTTGGGTCCAAGCATGGAGGTAGGAAATAGCTGGACAACACCGTCCAAAAACCAACATTTTCGAACAAAAAACATCAGATTTCACCTTCAAAACGGCCTCCAAATTACTAGATATGCCACCTGAGGTACAAGTAGATATCGATGATTAAGATGGTTGTACTGAAGTTTAAATGAAACAGAAATCACATCCGGTATGGAATGCGCGCAATTCTTTGGAAAGTTTCGGATAGCATTTGAGCACATTGTCTAAATGCGATCTTGAACAGCTGCAGCCACATGCCTTATACATAGGTCATAGCCATTTCCTTCACAAGATTCTGTGGGGCTCATCAGAGTATCACAGCGTCCTGTTTGCAGGGCGGGGGTACGAGCGAAACCAGGGACTCTGCTTCTGGCCATGTTATGCGCACGCACCTGCTTTGCCTAATGTATGTATCGCGCATTATATACCCTGCATAATTACCCAAAGTATACATATTCATAGTTATAATCCCCTGTTCCGCGCCGCACCGACTGACAGTGAATGGTTGAATGTACACGGTGGCCCACAAGTGTCACGGCAAAAGCAAATTCTTCACGGCAAAAGCAAGTTCCCCACGGCAAAGGCAAATTCGCCGTTGTGAGCCACCGTAAATTTACATGTATGGTTGCAGACCAGTAAATAAACTTCCATAGACTCCAATGGTAAATGCTCCCACTTCAGAAATTCGGAAAAAATACTCACAACTCTCCAAGGCGTTCGAGACACACGTCAAATTAAGGCTTATTTCATTATCTTTCATTTTCTTTTCAATTTTGGGGGGGTCAACTGATGACTTTGATAATTGATAATTATTAATTGTTGTTTATTTCATAAGTTATTCACAAACGGGACAAGGCTCTGTATACTGAGCTTAGGTTTTCTTTTCCTGGTTCCACCATCTGTCACCATGTATGTTTAAATTGATCAAAGTGTTATACATGTATTAGCATTCTATTAAGTTTAATTATTGTTGTAGTAAATAAACTGTTGCATTTGCATTATATTAATTTGTGACAAATGGAAATAAAACAATACAATACAATACTTTTAGGAGAAAGTTCCCTCCGAAGATGATCACCCCTGAAAATAGTCCTGAAACCCATCGCCATTTTGAAAAACGATGCCTACACTCCATTTCAAAATAGAGCGCTTTAAGGGCCCCAATTTCATCAAATTGAACGGAACTACAAGCTCACAGTCCTGTGCACGGCTTCCACCCATATTTTTTACAAACCCTCAAGTTTATGGCCCACATCATCCTCAAATACTGAAGATTTTGAGGGTATGCAAATCGTGATTTGGCCGGCGTAGGCAATTTCGGACCGATTTACTGGTCTGCAACCTATAGGCATGTACGTACGCACATATTTACTGTGCCCACTGCGCTTGAAAAAAAAATGGCCGAAAAAATGAGTCAGCTTTTGATGAGGCTGTTGAATTCGCTGCAAAAAACGTTCGGTATATCAAAACTGAGATATCAGCAAATAGCCGCTCTTCGAAAGATAGTTGGAGGCCACGATGGTTTCGTCAACCTGCCGATTGGGTTCGGAAAAAGCATCTTCCAAAATCCAAGCAACACCGTACATACCGCGCCGATAATCTATAGATTTCAAAACGGACCGTGATGATGATGCATCGCGAGCGCTGCAGCTCGAAGCACGGCACGGCTTGCAGCCGGCCGGGCCACGCCGTCCGCCGACGGCAGCTTCAATGTCATCAAGGTCATGACTCTGCAAGGTTTGAAAACGGCTGTTAAGACTGATTCATTACTCTTTTATTCCAGTTTCCGTTGAAAAGCGTAATAATGTAGGAATTTCTGTAAAACTTAACTGTGTTGTAAATTTACAATTCCCGTCACTCACTCGGGTTCCGTTTCGAATCACAAACGGTTGGATTGCATTGCAACGCTCAAAATTTTGTCCACATGGTCCGCAATGAAACAGAAATCACATCCGGTATGGAATGTGCGCAATTCTGTGGTGAGTTTTCGGATAGCATATTCGCACATTGTCTAACTGCAGCCAGATGCTTTGTACATAGGTCATAAGCCACTTCCTTCACAAGATTCTGTGAAGCTCCAACCTCGTCTCCAGTGCTTACTTTATTTCCAACCGCGTCCCCAACCTCGTCCCCAGTGCTTACTTTATTTCCAACCGCGTTTCCAATAGTAAACCCTGGATAGGAAACTTTCTTCTTGTATCCTGATTGGATACCGCAATTGGCTAGTAATGGATTTTTATCGTGTACTTGGTGCTATATATTCACAACGTGCAGTACGTGTTTTCGCGATCATTCGTCCACGCCTTCTCGAAAATACAATTTCCTTTGCAATTTGCTCATATTAATATGAAATATGATACTGCATGTTGTCTTGATAAGATCGTAACAGTTTGATTTCACGCCGTGCTCGCGATGCTACGAATTGACTCTGTTTTTACCCCAGACACCGCATACAAAAACAAACGCTAATGTGTAACGCATATCCAGGCACCAGACTGTTCATTTGCATACGTGTGCAAAATCTTGCACATGCAAATGATCCAATGCCAGGGTGAAAGAGCAGGTAGTGGTGGGCGCGTACTGCTCGACACCCTGGGGACGAGGTTGCCCAGCGTCAGGGCCAAGTTCGGGCAAAGACCATTAGTCGACTAGTGGTTGATTTGTGACGTACCTTACGCCTGCGCACTAATAGCAAAGTGCGAACGTCTCTAGTAGAACGCTGGTCAAAATGTCATTGCAAAACGTCTGGATCCTGGCTCCCTGCTGTACGTTATGAACGCGCGTGGCTATGGTTACCAGCGAAGCAACCAACCCCAGTAGGTTGGTTCCAAATAGTCGACTAGCGTAGTTAACCATCGTCGACTAGACAGAGTTCGGGCAAACGTTAGTCGACCAATGGTTAACTATAGTCCTTGCGCGAACTTGCCCCTGTTTGCTGGTACCGGGTCCTTATTGGTTTGTCGTGATAGCGCCCTCTCGCGGCGGCGGGTTATTGCGGCGGCGGGTTATCACGTATCAAACAATAACAGCGTCTACCCCCTAGACTAAGAAACATAACGTTCAAAAGGCCATGTTTGCGGGGGGGGGGGGTTAGTTCACGAATTTCAATGCTCTGTTACAGCGTCTTAGTACGTAATCGGATTAGCTTTCCTTGACAACGACTGACGCTTTGCCTTCGCAACCATATGGCTGTATGGTTTTTGTAAAACTCAAGCCAAGACAAGTGCATGGTTTTTGGACACCTGGCCGCCTATCAATAAAGCAATCGGCAGAAGAGAGAACAAATTATAACTAGGTAGATTTTCCAAACATAATAGCCTTGAATGCAAGAATGTGTATTGTCACGTGTCGTGCCAGCTCTCCTGCGTCAGGCTGGTTTGGTTGGTAGCGTGCCGTCCCGATGGTGTCGTCCTATGGTACGGTGGTCATGCATGCCTTTAATCATCATCATTCATCATGTCATGCCACTTAATCAAGAACCCTAGCAATTATTCTGATCATTATTGGAGAATCAAGCAATCAAGTCACTAAATCCTAGCCCTGCAACTTCTTTTCTAGACTTTGAGCCCCATGGCTGTGTACAACTTCTCTTTCCCATACAACAGTGCATAAACTCAATTGACCAATCAGAAACAAGGATTCCTTATATGCAAAGTGACTCACAGTGTTCTAGTGTATTTAAAACATACAGTTGGTGACTTAATGCCTATTCCGTCACAGTATGTACTTTACCAACTTGCGGGCATTCGGCTCCACATACACGGAGAAACTCTGATCATACACAAAGCCCACAATGTGCTGTGCACAACTAGTACTGTTATTTAAAGAGGCACTAGGTCCTGAAATCCCCGACATTTTTATGTTTTGGATTGTTTACAACGGTTGTTTACATCGGACACGACGGAGTACGAATACGTTTTTCGTGTCGTTCTCTAGTGTACGATATACACGTTGTGTGTCTCAGGATCAGCGGTGACCAATCACCACGCAAAAGGCGTGGTGATTGCAACGCAACGCAACGTCCGCAAAAGGCGAACAATTTACGCGTACGAATGAAATCTCAACTAGCACCCAAACGGCTCGAATTTATGGGGTCGCAAAAGTGGACCCCGAAATTCGTTCTCGCACACAAATACAGGAATAACACAAAAACGCCCAGTTTTTAAAGGGCAGTTGTGAGGATGTTTCTATCCTAGTTATGCTCTTTCCCGTCATCTCGTTCAAAGCGCGTTTTGTAGCCCAATTGGCTGTTCCAGAACCTAGTGTCCCTTTAAGAAAGGGAGAAGACGGTTGTGGGAGACCAATCGGGGAGACATTCGAACGCACCACCGCCTACGAGTACAACGCTTGACGCTCCTGTGAAGCGTGATGGCTTTGTACACGTATCAGGATAAATTACTCGTGCGTACGCGGTGTGCCCCATCCATGATCAAGGGGCTCTTGAAAGTGGTCAAAACACGCCCTCATGGGCGTCGCGAGGGGGGGGGGGGGCGCACCCCCCCCCCCCCAAAAAAAGGAGGGGGGAAGAAAAAGAAAAAGAGGGACAAAATCATATTGTTGCTAATTTAATAGGTTGGGGGAGGGGGAATATCCATGCCCACCCTCCAAAAAGGATCAATCGGGAATTAAAATGCTGGATGG